AAAGATGGGCAATTTTAATGACTGTAATTTATATAGTTCATTACTTTCTGCATTTAAACTCATAAGCTAGGTACATCCTAACTTCTGAACTTTATTGCCTTGTTCTTTTCAAATTATTGTATATTACTGTTGAGATCATAACTGTGCTTACATGACTACTATTACAAAAGAGATAGATGTGTGTAGGTTAAACTTTTCTACATGGATGAACTTGATTTTTAATGTCTTCAATTTTTATGTGTTGGTTTGTAATTATTTTATATAAGTAAGATAAGCAAAGTTTTTGTTTATTTTGTTTTGGGGTGTGTGTGTGTGTGTGTGTGTGTTACTGGGGATTGAGCCCAGGGCCTTCTCACTGAGCTACATCCTCAGTCGTCCTTTTATTTTTTATTTGGGGACAGGATTTCACTAAGTTCCTAAGTTTCACAGTTGCCCATGCTGGGGTCAAACTTGCTATCCTGCCTCAGCTTCCCAGAGTGCTGAGATTACAGGTGTGTACCACTATGTCTAGCTGAAGAAAAGCAGAATTTTAAATTTGGAATGTATTAGAGCTTTTAAAAATGAAAAAAGAGATGAGAGTGGTGGCACATGCTTGTAACCCCAGCACTCTGGAAGAGGCAGGAGAAGGGCAAATTCAAGCGTGGAGAACTTAGAGATTTAATGAGAACCTATCTCAAAATTAAAAATAAAAAAGAGTTGGGGATGTAGCTCAGTGTGAAGGCCCTGGGTTCAATCCCTAGTAGCATAAAAATAAACAAAAAAAATAAGATGAAGAAAGAAGGAAAATAATTTATATTAATAGTAATTGGATGGAATTTTAGACTATTAAAATATTCTTAGTCATATCATTTCGATTGGTTTATTAAGAAGATGAAGGTATTGCATCTTCAGTCATCTACCAAAATTGCTTGCAATTTTTCTATTCAAAAAAATAAGACTATTTTACTCTTTTTCAATTGGCACAGTTTGGCATAACCGTAATGTACATGTAAATGCTTCAATAAGGTTTTTCAAGTGAAAAACATTTTTCCATTTTTTTATTTTTGAAACAGAGTCTTGGTTTTTTGGTTGCCAAGCATGTTAAGAAGATTGTATAACAAGCTTGAGTACAGGCGGAAAAAGAACAGACCACTTTCCAGCTCATTTCTAGAAGGAAGGTTAGATTTGTGAACACTAAAGAGAAAGGATTTGTCTTGGTTTAACATGATTTGCCCAAGCTCGGCAGTAACCATACCTATCATACAGAAACCAAATGAAGCAAAATTTCACAGTATTTCTTCTTATGTGTAGGGAAGAATTAGAGTCTAATGGTTTGGCCAGGTCAATCTTCCCTTACAGATGTTACAATAATCCCCTAGAATTGGGTAATTTACATAATCAGTCTCTCAGCCAATAGCCACATCTGGTCCACTCCAATTCATTCAATGACTTGTGGGCATTGCACAATTGTTTGCCTTTTCAACTTATTCGTACAGCAATATTGTTTGTTCCTACTCCCTGCTTTGCAGCTCCACTGTCAACATTTATACCTGCCAAGTGATAGACTGGAGAAGGAAGAGCTCCTTAGAGGAAGGAACCTAAACCATTATATATAAGCCTATCTGTAGTAGATTATTTCATCACACCAACACCTCATGTTAAAAAATAGCCCGAGAAAATATTAACTGCATTGACTCAGTCCAACAATTGGAGTCCAGTTCAAGTTGTAAAATTTTTTCAAAGACAATATTTTGTTACTTTTAAGCACAAAATAAAAATAATCTAGTGGAGTATTTCTCAGAGGACTTCTTTAATGGATTATGAAATATTAATTTCTTGCTCTTTTGGGATAATGAAGGTGCCCATAAAATTCCTTCCCCTTATTAATAAACTTGTGATTGGTTTTGCAAACTTAAATTCCAGAAATCTTTTGTTGATTAAAAGATAATACAAACCAAAACTATCAACAAAATATTCCTAACCATTACTGTAATGTAGATGAATAAAGATCTTTCATTCCTCTGTGCCCAGCATAGCGCACAAGCTCTGTAGAGAATGCCCAGATGATCAGAATATAGTCTATCTCCAATGGAGATATACGAAAGTCATCCAAGTGTGGGCATTTTTGCTTTGTTCTTTGTCTCTCTCGCCAAGATCTCTGTAAAACTGTAAGCAACTGGATAAACTGTTTTCCCATACTTCCTCTTGTTCCTGGAGTTGTAGTCCAAAGGTCTAACTGGAGGAGGAGAGGCCCCACCAGACCAGGTTCTGCAATCCGCTGCCTCACCAGTCTGAGAGGCACGAGTGGGGAATGAAGCACAAGAGGAATTTATTGTTCAGTGTGGCCACACCAGGAGGCAGGAGACTAGTGTTTTAAGCCCTGTCTTCAAGGATACTGATGTGAGCTCCAGGGAAGGAACAGAAGTGTATGGGGGGTGCATAGTTAAGCGATCTTAGTCAAACTGTGGTCTGGTTTAGTATTACATCAGAACCTGTACTGCAGGGGAAGTTCTCATTGCTTGAGGGGGTAGGGCAATTCAGTTCCTAACATGAGATGATTTATCTGGTTTAGGGGGCAGCCACATGGGGTAGTCACAGGGTAATCTCTCCTGTTTAGAAAGGCAGTCCCTTCATGGTGCGACTGCCTTCAAGGCCTGCGTTCCCTGGAATCCTACAAATATCTTAGTTACATTTGATATCTTTAGTCTTGAAGAAAAAGGAGAAAATGATTAAGTAAGTTGAGGACTAATCAATCTTATATAACAAGTTTTTAGACAGACCTTTCTTAAGTAATTAACATGTGGATACAAGGTAAACACTCAAAAATCAATAGCCTTCTTGTACACAAATAACAGTCTCACTGAGAGAGAAATTAGGAAAACAATCCCTTTCACAATAGCATCCAAAAAAATGAAATATTTAGGAATCAATCTAATGAAGGAAGCAAAAGACCTCTACATTGAGAACTACAACACTATGAAAAAAGAGATCAAAGAGGATATAAGAAAATGGAAAGACATCCCTTGTTCCTGAATAGGAAGAACCAATATAGTGAAAATGGCCATACTTCCAAAGCTGCTATACAGATTCAATGCAATCCCGATTGCAAACCCCTGTTGCAATCCCATCAGCATATTTCACAGATCTAGAGAAAATAATCCAAAAATTCATTTGGAACCAGAAAAGACCTAGATCAGCAAAAGCAATTCTAGGCAACAAAGACATGAAAGGGAGTATCACAATCCCCAACTTGAAACTATACTACAAAGCCATTGTGATAAAAACAGCATGGTACTGGCAAAGAAACAGACCCCAGAGTCAGTGGAATAGACTAGAAGATACAGAAACAACTCCAGACATACTCAGCTACCTTATCTTTGACAAAGGAGCCAACCATCCTCATTGGAGGAAAAATAGCCTCTTTAATAAATGGTGTTGGAAAAACTGGATTTCAACTTGTCAAAGATTAAAACTAGACCCCTAGCTTTCACCATGCACTAAATTAAGATTGAAGTGGATTAATGATCTAAATATTAAAACATCTAAATATTAGATCTAAAATATAATAAATAAAAGATCTAAATATTAAAAATAATATTAAAATATTAAACTTGCTGGAAGATAAGTTAGGTAGAACTCTTGAAGACAATGGCACAGGAAAAAACTTTATGAACAAATCCTCAGTAGCACAAGAACTAGCACAGAGAATCAACAATTGGGATCTCATCTTATTAAAAACCTTCTGCACTGCAAGAGAAACCACCAACAGAGCTAAGAGACAACCTACAGTGTGGGAAAAAAAATTTTTACCAGCTGTTCTTCAGTCAAAGGTCTACTATCTAGAATATATAAAGAACTAAAAAAATCAGACCCCCAAATATAAAGACCCACTCCAAAAATGGGCATCTGAAATGAACAGACATTTCTCAGACAAAGAAGTAAAAGCAGCAAATACACATATGAAAAAATGTTCAACATCGCTGGGTCATTTGAGAGATGCAAATGAAAACAATGCTGAGATTCCACCTCACCCCAGTAAAAATGGCTGCTATCAAGAAATCAACCAATAACAAATGTTGGCAGGGTTGTGGGGAGAAAGGAACCCTTCTCCATTGTTGGTGGGAGTGCAGACTGGTGCAACCACTGTGGAAATCAATATGGAGATACCACAAACAACTAGGACTAGAAGTCCCATTTGACCCAGCTATTCCTATGCTGGGTATCTTCCCAAAAGAATTAAAAGCATCATACCACAGTGATATATGCACACCCATGTTTATAGCAGCACAGTTTGTAATAGCTAAAACTTGGAAACAGCCCAAATACCCATCAACTGGAGATTGGATGAAGATGTGGTTTTTCTATAAAATGGAGTACTACTCAGCCATAAAGAATGAGAAACTAGAGAAATTTATGGCTAAATGGATGCACATTGAAGCGAAACTCTTAAGTAAAATAAATAGGACACACATGTAAATGCCAAACAGTTTCTCTGGTGTGAAAAACTAAAAGTGTAAATAAGGATCAAAATGTATAATTGATATTGTGAAGTAGGAAGAAATAGTCTAAAGGAGTAGGGGAATGGGAGGGATAGGGGAAAGAAAAGAAAGGAAAAGAAAAAATATGAGAAAAGGAAAAAAATGGAAACAAAGTCTTTGTGAATAGGGAGGGATGGAGAGGGTGAAGATAGGGCAGGGGAATGGGGAAAAAATAAGAACCAAGATACATCACGTACAGGTACAAGATCCCAATGATAAATGTAAATGTGTTATATACCTAAAATGTACCAATAAACTTAATAAAAAAATAAAATACATAATTAACATGTTTACATGCAGAATTGAGCTGGAGTCTGAGCCAAAGTATAAGGTAGCAAAAGAAACAAATACAAAATGAAGGATGAGATACCCACCTTTTATCCTGCTTTTAGTTGCCCATCAAGCATCTGCAGGCCCAAGTGAAGAGTCAGTGCTTTTAGCAAAAGTAGCCTCTTAGTCCCTATTGCTCTCTTTTTCTTTTAGTCGTTCAAGTTGGTTTCCCGTGTCTTGGAAAACAAGATGGGGTGGCAGCATTTGAAGTGAATGTGATTGTGATGAATTCTGAAGGAAACACCATCCTCCAGACACCTCAAAATGCTATCTTCTTCAAAACATGTCAACAAGGTAACGGTTGATAGTGACTCAAGAGAAGATCAACAAGACTTCTAGGTGTGATTTGAGCCAAAAAATTGTTATAGTTTTTTGGATAATTATAAGCACATCAGTAAGAGGAGGCAACAGTAAACCTAGGGTCCAGTTAGAATATTAGAGCAGACTTTCTGTGGCTTTAACATTACTTAGAATTTTAGGAATTCTAATACCCCTTCAAAACACCCTCTAGTCTTCCCCCTTCCCTACACAATGTCCAGAAATCTTCTGAGGGATCTCATCTATGGTCATGAATTTCCCTACTTTTCTCATGCTAGTTACTCACTGCAAGTGCCAGGCTCTCTTCCCACTTGTCAAAGGCAACACTACTGTATCCCTGTCAAAAGCTTGGTGCTGCTCACGCCCACAGAGGACAAGATGCCACTGTCACCAGTGATCCCTGCCAATTCAAGGCCTCACTCAGTACCGCACTGCTACACCCAGGTGCCTAGTAAGCACGAGGCTGCTTTCCCACTCCATGCAAGCTTTTCCAGCACAGAATTGAAGCTCTGGCACCTGTCAGTGCTCTCAAGATGCAGCTAAACACCACCCCACTCTCTAAAAGTAAAGATTGAGGACAATGCCATTCATTCTTCTATAGTATGAATTTAAGGTAGTACAATGGGTTAATAGGTAGGGATGAGGGCAAAATAAAAAATGCTACATCTTCTTCCATGAGCCCCCCTACTGTTGGAAGCAAGACTGCAAGAGATAAAAATCTTACTTGAAGGTTATTGAAATCCAAGCAGTGTAGAGAGAATGAGGTAGGAGTATCTGGAAACACAATCAATTGCAATAATTGGTTCACTGGAATAAAAATGACCACTCACATCTCCCACTGGCTGTAATTCACCCAACATGATCTCAAGGACAAGCAGGTGAACTTTGTTTTTCTTTGCTACAGCTGAGTGCCCAGGAGGCTGCCGAAACGGAGGTTTCTGTAATGAAAGAAGAGTCTGCGAGTGTCCTGATGGATTCTATGGACCTCACTGTGAGAAAGGTGAGGAGAGGAGAGAGAGCCAGTGTTCCTTGCTTGCTTCCTAAGAACACCATGTCACCCAGGAGCCCATGTGGGTCTTTAATACATCCTCTGAAATTATTTTTCTGGTCACATTATAAAGACTGGTGAAGCTTTAAAAAGCCACAGAAGAGCTATTAGGAAGTATTTTTTCTAGGAATGGTCTTCTCTTAAATTCAATGTGTGGTGACAAGGGCAGAGAACTTTGGCACAGTGTCAACATGCTTTGTGGTCACCCCCACACACACACACATACACAGTATTGTGTACAGTATACTTTGCCATAATCTTATGAAAGTTTTCATTCTTTTTTTCTCCACTGAAGATGAGTTTTTAAAGATAGTCACCATTGATTTGAAATTATTCCAGCTAAAAGTAGCTTGATTCACAAGTAAATTACATTTGAATTTTGAAGTTATTAGCAGAGTAAAAGGGTGAAAAACATTTATACAGTAAATATATTCATTTTAGGGAAACTGATATTAAGAAAAATATGTGAAAAAAGAGATAAGAAAGACAATGAGATTATAAGATGCATAAATACCAAAAGCTTATTTAACCAGAGTAAACAAACTATTTTTCATGTTTGTGAAATAAGAACTTCTCTTGTTTTCTTATTTGCATTTGCCTTAGAAGTGAAAGGAAAATCAAGGAAATAGGGCAGAGCAAAAATATTTACAGTTTTAGAAAGACCACATCTTAGTCAAGATGATTCCGGGAAATTTTTTATCAGGCATTCAAAGTGGAACAGATTTCTAAGAAATTGGCTGAGAAGTTGAAAAATAGCCTGATTAATACCACAAAAACAATTTATAATATAACAGACTTGTGAAGAGTGAGCATTTTAGAGTCAACTACAAAACTTGAAATTGTATTATTGACATTTCAAAATGGCCCTGCTCCAAAATTCTACTTGGTCTTAATCAGGGTTTTTTCTCCTTTAAGCCCTTTGCGCACCACGGTGTATGAATGGCGGGCTTTGTGTTACTCCTGGTTTCTGCATTTGCCCACCTGGATTCTTTGGAGTCAATTGTGATAAAGGTAACAGTTTCTTTTTATGAACAGACTTCTTTTTAAATGCTTGGTTAAAATAAGTACGCAGTACTTAGCAAGTCATACTCTACTGCAGTAACTGAACCCCAATCCCAGTGTAGTTTAACACAGCAGTTCATTTTCACTCACCAAATGCTCTGCTAGAGGAATATGGGTTCAGTGTGCAGTGCAATGCTTTTTCTTGCAGTGACCCAGGCAGCATCCACTGGGGGCCCTGCCTAGAGCTATCTAGGTCCAGCCAATAAGCATAGAGAGATTGAGTTGGACATTTTTTAAAAAAAAATCCTTGTCTCCTAAAAGTGACTCCCAAAATTTCCACACCTATTCTGCGACTAGAAATTAGCCTGATTGGCTCTACATGGATGCAGCCAGAAAAATTGCTGCCCCTGATGAACAGGCATCTCACATGATGACTCATGTTTTGGAAGGAGAACATGGAAATTTTGGTGCCCTAGACCAATTTTGTGGGTGAACTTCTAAGGCTTTAGTTGGGCACCCTGCTCCAAATTGCCTGATCTAGGAGTTTACTCACTTGTATTCTACTCACATATAACATCCCTGACAACTCAGATGCCTCCTTTTTTTATTTATTTTTTTCTTTTTTCAGTACCCAGGATCAAACATGAGATCTTGTGCTTGCGAGGCAGGCGGTGGCACCACTGAGCTAAATCCCCCACTCAGATGCCTCCTTTTCAACACTGAAGCAATATAGCCAGATTTTACCTCAGGAAGAGTAGATTTAAACCTAAAATACTACTGACCATAAAATACTACAGAATGATTCCTTTCTTTACAAGAGAGCTATTTTGCCAGTTAACATATTTTTTAAAAAAAAATTTAAGTAATTTTAATTTGTGTTTGGTGACTTCTAGACCTTACAATTATCTTGACATGCCAGGTGGTATGTAGTAAATTCCTTGTATATGGTAGGTGTACAAAACATTTTTATTGAACAAAATAATGAAGAACAAACCTATCTATATTTTCTTAGCAACATTTTTCACTTTCTAAACTTGTACTAAACAGTGAATAAGCCAGATTCAAAATTAAGTTTCCGTGTATTAAGGCACAAACAGACACAAATTAATGGACTTGGTAAACACTTTTGAAATTCATTGCAAAAAGAAATGTTATATAAGGGGAAACCTAGTAAACCTCACTAATCAAATTTTTCATGATGTAACCTCTGCAGGTTTCAGCCACAAAAATGCACAAGCCCTTGAAACTACTGAATTTAATGCACTATTTTTGCAGCGTACCCCAAAGAAATTTTTGGAGATGTAGAAATAGTTTTTGAATACTGTAAATGACAAAATAAATGCACTTGTTTATAATGAGTGTCTCACAAGCCAATCTTTTTCTTTTAAAAAGTTTTAGGGAGCGGAAATCTTTAGGGGATCACTGAGAATATATGAATGATGACATTAGCTAAATTTTTCCTTATCCAGAAAGTTCCATAAATTCCCCCAACTTCCACTTTCATCTGATTAGAATACTTTATTTATTTATTTATTTATTTATTTTTGAGACAAGGTCTTGCTATGTAGTTCAGGCTGGCTTCAAACTCACAGTGGATCCTCCTGTCTCAGCCTGCCCAGTGCTGCGATTACAGGCATGTGCCACCACACCCAGCTGAATATATGATTTTTTAAAAACTTCCCCCTTCTATGCTGAGAATCTTTTTTTGTTTTTTATTTATTTTAATGTAACACAAGTAGATATTAATAAAGAAAATATAAATGCTATTCTATGAAAAAATAATTTTTCATAACAAAAATTTTTAGAGAATAACAATGATAAATACACTGTGTATCATGATCTTAAAGGAATATATTTTCATTTGTTAATCTATCTCTCAGCTCATTTTCTGATAATGCATTGATAATCTTTTTTGCATAAAATATTTTAATTATTAAAAAATATCTCACACTCAGTATAATTTTAAACAATTTCTTCCTATTTCACAACATCTATTATTCTTTTTGGTTCTTTTTACACTTTCAGTTTCTCACACCAGAGAGACAGGGAGATATTTACACATGTGTGTTTGACTTCTTTCACTTAAGAATATGTTCTCAAGGTCCATCCATTTACCTAGAAGTGTCTCCAGTTTATCCTTTTTTGTGGCTGAACAGTACTCAATTATATAAAATAACCACATCTTTTTTATCCATTCATCAGTTGTTGGGCACTTTGGTTGTTCCTAGGAATATTTTTTAAACATTTAAAAATATCCTGCAGAGTATATGAGTTTGATGAAGTTAACCCTGTACTATTCATGCTAATTGCATGTATACAGCATCTTTTATTAATAAATATATACTTTGAAATAGAATGATGACTACATTTTTGAGAATTATCTTTAGTTATTCATGTAAGGTTGCAATTCAGACCTTTTGTTAAAAAGAAAGAAAAGCTAGGGCCGGGGATTTAGCTCAGTGGTTCCGCCGCCTGCTGTGCAGGCTCAAGGACCCGAGTTCGATCCCCAGTACCAAAAAAAAAACAAAAACAAAAAGAAAGCAAAGCTAAAGGAAAGAGCTCTCAGCATGAGTCAGAATAATAACTTATGGTGGTTTGCTATTTTATGATATTCAAAGTAATTTCATAAAATTGTCTGGTTTTACTTTCAACAGTATTTTTAGATATGGAAAGTATGATGCTTTTCATTCCCAGAGAATTGTAATGAGGCATATAGAGTTTGAGGAGCTTGACCTAAATTCACTCCCTCTGTATCATGTTACCACTCAGGCTACCAAATTCAGGCTCCATGTCCTCTAGAAGTGACTCTGGACTTTGGCTGATAACTAGCTCTGTCTTTGGGTCATTTTTTTACCTTCTGTAAATTTGGAATTAATTCCTAGACCAGCCTATTTGCTACCCCTAGGCTACCTGAGTTCGTATATCAAAGCCTTTCTACCCTTTAAAAAAATGGTCTTTTAAAACTATAGCATTGGATTAAAATTTTTTTAATGTGCTTTCATAGAGCTTAAGTCCTACTGACAAAAATGATCAGTGAATAAAATCATTTATTGTAAATCTTCTATTTGTCTAAATTTAGCATTTGGCATCTCTGCTGTTTCAAAATAGGATATTTCTTAAAGCAAAATAAAACTCAGATTATGTTAAATCTACTAGGAAAATCCTTCAGAAATTTGGATGACTAACACTTATATTTGTAGATTTAAATTTAGTCCTGTTTATGTAGATATGGTCATTGTTGCTGGGTTTGCACAATGGAATATCATTGCAATGTTTTTCTAATGGTATGGTGTAACAAAGTTCATGGTCACTAGTGAATGAATATATTTATCTATATTCTAGGATTTTTACATTTTGTAATATTTTATCATTCAGATGAAAGACTGTCCTACTTGTTAGACTACAGTAATTTTTGTTTAATTCTTCTGGAAAGTGTGTTGAAATTCTACTTGGTTAGAATTTCTACATTAAAAAAACATTTTTTACCACCTCAACAAAAACATGCTTTTATTATGCAGGAGGGAGAATGGAGCTTCTGAAATATGGTTTAAATTACAAGCACAGAACTAGACCTTAGCACAATATGCTACAATAAATATTAAAGAATAATCTTCACTGGCCCTTGAGACATCTGCCATAAACTTTAGTAAGTGAGCAGTTAAGCATTAGCCAAAACCCTTGGCCCAAGTGAAAGTTACTTAGTGTTTCTAGCTCATTGCACAATAGAAATTTTATTAGTCTTTTTTGTATTGTTATAACAAAAAACCTGAAGTTGAGTACTTTGTAAGAAAGGGTCAATTAAGCTCATGTATCTGGAGATTCAAGAGTGTAACACTAGCATTTTCTTGGTTCTGGCGAGGGCCTTCTGGATACATCAGAACATGGTGTATAACGCCATGATAGGACTACCTGGAAGATGTAGAAATTGCATAGCAAGACGGGAAGTAGAAAGATTCAAGGGCTGTGCTTGCTCATCTTATAAAAATTTGCTCTCAGAAGAACTAACTGAGGTCCCATAAAACTACACTAATACTTTCTGAGGTTGGTGGCCTTATTCTAATGGAATGCCTTCCAGTAAGTCCCACTTCTTAAAAATTTCATCATTTCTCCATACTGCCACATTGGGCAGCAAGTTTGTAGCATACGACTTTTGGGAATGCATTCAAACCATATTCAAACCATTACAGAAATGTGGAGGAGATTGGTCAGGATGGTAACTTATGATACACATACTAAGAATGTGGCCAGATTACATAACCAGATCTATCAAATTCTATTACTTTTAATTAAGCTACCGGGCTTATTGTATTTTGCATATTGGTAAGAGGCAGTGTCCACAGGGCATGAACCAAGTGGGAGCTAATCCCAGTATTCCCTATCTCCTCTTATTCTCAGGAGAAATAGGGCAAGGGAGGAAACAGAACACACTCACAAAACAATTGCCCGCCTGAGCAATACTAGCAGCAAGTAGTAAACAGGATGCCCAAAGAGCTGAGTCTCCTGAATCCTAAATCCTGTGCCAAAATGGTACTGCTCCTTTCTACATCAAGACATTTAGTTTTGCCAAAATGAGTATAGCATTGCCTTAAGCTCTAAGATGCTTGTGATTTTAAACACTAAGTTTATTATTTAAGAGGCACAATATTCATAGGACATTTTGGTTGGACTTGTTTTCCACAAAGAAAGCAAACACATATAACTTTTGGCTTTCCTTTCTGATTTTCCTACTGGAAGCTTACTTTAGCTTTTGTTCATCCGTAGCCAACTTTGGCACATTTTATATGGGACAAGAACAAACAGATAATGTAACTGACATTGCTAAAAATCCAAGCTCGGCAGATTTTTTACAGAGTGAGCCAACTTGTTTACTTTTAGATGTTTCATCTCTCCTACTTTCGTTTCTCTGTTATCCCTCTCTTTAAGGTGCCAGCAAGCTGCGAAATTCCAGAAATTGACTCAGAGAGAGGGTTTAGGACAATGGTGGCAAACCTATGGCACATGTGTTGTTTTCCTTTGAAGACAAAAGATGTTAATGTATGAGTTGGGTTTTTTCTACACTAAAGCCTCAGTATTCAGGTTTACTTGTAGTGTTGGCACTTGGTGACAAATAAATGAGTTTGGGGTTGCAGTTTGAGCACTCATCTCTACAAGGTTTGCCATCACTGATTTAAGATGAATCACAGTATGACTATCAGTACCTGCATAAGGTAGTTAATTGGACTCCCGCTATAGTGTATCCAGCCTTAATCCCTAAGACTCAGGTTCTGCCACATCCCTACCTGTGGGATCTCACAAGGGTTCATAGTCTGGGGGTTTTTTTGGTTGTTTTTTGTTTTGGTACCGGGGATCGAACTAGGGACCTTGTGCTTGCGCGGCAGGTGCTGAAACCACTGAGCTAAATCCCCGGCCCCCATAGTCTGTTTTTTTCTGAATTCAATCACTTCCTTCTCCAAATATCATGAAAATATATTTTTAAAATCCTACCAGGTAAAATAAATCTCTGTTCATATGATTCTGAAAGACAGCTGCTTTCTCTTTTGTTGAATTCTGATTTTATGACTTCTTTTCCAATTATTTTAAAGCAAGTTTTCTCCTTTTTTTAATATTTGAACTTTTTTCTTTTTTGGTACTAGAGATTATACCCAACATCTCACACATGCTAGGGAAGTGCTCTGTCACTGAGCTACACCCCATCCCAAATTTTCTCCTGTTTACTCTTCCTTTATCTCCAATCTGATATTTCAAAAAAAACATTTCTTGGATTTATAGCATTCTTCTCTAAGGGCATAGATTTTATTTTAAAAATTAAAAGAACTATTTTTTAAACACACCATACATTTTAAATTAAGATATTAAACTCCTGGGGGTAGGAGGGAGGTGATATACAGTGACATCCTATTGTATCTGACTATATTCTGAAATCAAGTAATTGTCATTTGATTTTGAACCAGTTACTTTGAATAACTGAGTCAACTGGTTCCAACTTTTATATTTGTAAAGTAGCTTTATTAAGTAAAGGGCAAGAACAAATTCCTAAGAAGTATCATTCACTTTTAGTGAAGTTTTTAAGTTAGGTTTAACCTACTGTCTAATACAACACGCTGTTCTTTATTTTAACAGCAAACTGCTCTACCACCTGCTTTAATGGTGGGACCTGTTTCTACCCTGGAAAATGCATCTGCCCTCCAGGGTTAGAAGGAGAACAGTGTGAAATAAGTAAGTATTAACTTTCTGTATTCTCTTTGCTTCTTTGGGACCACAGAAACTTCATCTAACTTCTTCATTTTCCCAGTGAGGAATCTGAAGCCCAGAAAGAGTGAATAAGTTAGATAAAGTCTTGGGCTGTTGGTAGGTTTCTTTTTAGTGGATTCATCTGCCAGTTATTTAAGCTAAAGGTGGAGCAAAGAGTGACATGGTTCACCTCAGAGGGCTTTGAACCAGTGCCCTCTGATTTGGTTACGTCTGGATTTGGATTATTCAGCAGACTGTTGACTCTTGTTAGTCAGTTCCTCTTCTCATTATGAAAAGCCCATAGCTTCAGCCTAGAAGTGTGGACCATAGCTTTAAGACAGCTGAGATTCATTCACCTGCCCACAGGCATAGAGGGGTTTTCCCTGCCTCCCATTGCCAGATATCCCAGAACAGAGTGAGCCTAATAACCCACCTAAAAGGATAGACCCAAGAAAAGGAGAGGAAAGCTGCCCGGCAATAAGAATAAGCACAAACTAACAGCAATTAGCGAATCCCACAGATATCTTAAGTGAACGGATCCAGATCCAAAAAAGTGCGTGATTCCATATTTTTAAAATTCAAGAATAGTAAAACTAATGAAGACAATGGAAATGAGAATCACAGTTCAGGCTACAAAGGAACTTCATGGGGTGCTGAAAGTGTTCTATGTCTTGACTGGTGAAGTCATTAGAGTTTTTGTTTATGTAAAAATTATTTGAGCTGTAAACTTGAGATTGATACACCTCTGCCTTCACTGTATGTTTCTCAGACAGTCATTGTTTAGGGAATCAGTGTACTAAACTGCTTGTCCTGGCTCTGCCACCTAGCAGCCATATGGCCCCCAGCAAGTCACTTATTCTCTCATTAAACTCAGAAATGAAACAACCCGACCTACTCTATTGCCTTATGACCCAGAAGACAGCAGCAAAACACATGCCCAGGAAGAAGGGAAAGGAAAAGGAGCATGTCCCCAAGGGTTCTTGGCTCTGCCTTTCTGCTGTGTGTTGAGAGAACCTGGTCAGCATTCCCACTTCTGCTATCTGGTATCTGTAGAACACCACTGTGCTTGGTACAGCTCTAGTTTCTGAAGTGGCAGTAACTTCAGAATTGCATAATACCAAGTCCCTCTTTTAACTTTCAGCCTCTAATTTATTTGTGGGGTTTTTTACTTAAGGAGTAGTAGTAGATGAAAGTAACCATTTTTTTTCCAAGTTCAAATGAAATACCTCTAAATTTTCCATGGACCATGTAATTAATCACTAGGATGTGGTTTCTATTCTTATTAATTCCCTTCCTGGTAAAGATATCTCCAACTGGCTCCCTTCAAATTTCTCATCACCTTCACCCCCAGACATTGCACATTTAGTTGCTCTGTGTTTACCAGTCTTTGCTCATGGACTCATTTCAGGCCCTTGGGTTTATGAACTTTCCATTGGCAGAGGCAATGTTTTTTATTCACATTTTTTGTTGTTGTTGTTGTGGGGTTTTTCTAACTCTACCAAAAATGTGGGTCTTTGAAAGCTCATGATTTTTTGACCGCAAGTTTTATTCAAATCTTTTTAGGAAATTTCCTATTTCTATGACAGGGACCACATTACCAGTAAAAAAATGGAAATAAGCCTTGAGTTGAAAAATCCTTTTTAAAATGTACAGATGAAAAAGTATAGTTGAATTATGTATTCTTATTTTTAAATTAAGATATAATTCACATATCATAAAATTCAACATGTTAAAGTATACCAACCAATACATTCACAAAATTGGGCAGTCTTCACAGCACCTTTGTCAAATTTCAGAATTTTTGTCACTCCAAAAAAAAGAAGAGCCCATAATTATCAATAGTCACTCCCCATAGCCTTCTCCTCCCAGATCCTGGCAACCACAAATCTACTTCCTGTCTCTTTAGACTTGCCTGTTCTGAACTTTTCATGGAGTCATGAATCACACAATATATAGCATTTTGTGTCTGGCTTCATTCACTTAAATTCATTTTGTTTTTAGGGTTCACATATGATGCAGCATATATCAGTACATCTTTCCTTTTTATTGATGAATAATATTCAATCATATGGATATACCACATTTTGTTTATTCATTCATTAGTTGATGGGTATTTGGGTTGTTTCTACAGAAGGATTATGAATACTGCACATTATGTGTATGCGTGTGTGTGTGTGTGTGTGTGTGTGTGTGTGTGTACTTGGATATATACACCAACAAGTGGAATTGCTGAATCATATAGCAACTTTTTTGAAGAACTATTAGACTGTTTTCAAAAGCGGCTCCACCATTTTACATTTCCATCTGCAAGGTGAAACAATTTCAATTTCTTCACATCCTCATAATACTCATTATTCTTTTTTAAATGAAATATATGTTCTGATGTCATTTTATTTTCATTTCTTCTGATTTGTCAGGAATGATACCTTATCAAACTTTATTCTGACCTGATTGTGATATATGCTTATAGTTAACAAATAAAACCATGGTTGGGGTTATCTAGAGGGCTGGAAGTACATTCATCTCATCATTTAGGGCTCATAGATTTACCAAGAATCTTTAATGAATTCATCATTTTTAAAGGCCACATAAATTTTATGTTGTATTATAAATAAATTTTAAACTAAAATATTCTTTGTAAAAATTTAGACTATTGGAGAAAACAATTAAAAATCACCTAAGACCCAGAGATGATGGTTGTGGGCACTTGTAAACCCCTTTGATCTTTTTTTGTCCATGCATCACAAATTTAAGTTAAGCCACAATCACATGGGTGGAGGAAGATTAATGACTTTATTTATTAATACCTTATGACATCATTTGCCCAAAGATAGATCCACTGGTTGTACTAAAAATACTGTTTAAACTTACCAAATCTGTGTATCTTTTAATCAAAGCTTAATCTCTTTGGGTAAAAATACATAACCTCCCAGACTGGCTAATTTCTCCATTGTCCAACAGATAAAATTTTGGCAAAGTATTTTCAGGAAAAGAAAGTCATTATTGGAGATACTTATACAGGATTCTGAATTTAAACCAGTGAAATTGTAAAATTTGGCTGTGGCCTTCTAATGGTCTCCTGTAGTCAAAATAACAACTGGGAGAAAACATCCTTCCTCCTAGCTGAGTGAACCTGAGGGGCCTCATTTCCCACTGGCTAAGATGCAAAAAGTCCGGTGGAATTGAAAAGATTCTCCCACTGATCATTCTCTGCAATATTTTTGATTACCAAGTTCATGCCTTATATGCGTGGGAAAATCTGAGCTCACCAAGTGTTTCATCTATAAGTGCTCTGTCTTTTGTGCCATGCAATTATCAACTCACATCTTGTTTGCCTGAAAAAACCCAGTACATCACAGAATACTGTGATATGATCCGATTATCTGTGTGCCTGGGGTCAGATGTTTCTTTGATGCAAATAGAAACTTGGAGTTAGGTATTCCTTTCTTTTAGGTAAGAGTTGAAATCTAACTAGAGAGTAAATAATATTCTTGTATTCAAAACTAGCAAATGGGACTTTTTTATACCTTTATTGGTCAACAAAAAGTAGTATTCTACTATAAAGTTTGTTTTAATAATTGTTTCTGGAATACATTTGCTTCAGAAAAATACTTGAAGTCTAATGGTATTCCAGGTTATTCCAATATTGTTATGTCTGTGATGTCTCCATAATGACTAAATGCTGCTTTGGTCAGTTTATGTACAAATAAAGTCCTTTTGGGTAAGTCAGAAGAAAAATGTTTATAGTAAAATGATTTTCACTGTTTGTTTGTCAAGAATAGTCCTGTCAGTAAATATACATGGTAATTTGTTTCTTTCAAAGCTTTCCTTTGCTGTAAAAAGAAAGGTTTAGAAAATGGAAGGTAGGTTGGTTGAGGACAAAGATTCCATTAATTTTCATTGTTTTCTCAGAATGCTTTGTAATGAGTGTCCTGCTAAAGTGGGGGGAAAAAGAAAAGGAACCATAAAAATCCAAACTTGTCCACTCCCAAAACTCAATGGCTACTTGCTCTCTTTGGAATAGCACTATGGTTTCTGTTCTTCCACTTCTTCAAAAACTGCAGCGTTAGGATGGCAAATTCTAGACTACAAAGGGAAAATAAATACCATCTACAATAAAAGAAAGTTATTGCATAATTTTATATGTAAGGCCTTGTTCTGGTGCTAAATTTCTGTGACTCAAAGATCTATGAAAGTGGTCAGGTGTGGTAGCACACAAGTAATCCTCACACTTGGGAGGCTGCAACAGGAGGATCTTCAAACCCAGCCTGGTGAACTCAGTGACTTAGCAAGACTCCGTCTAAAAATTTAAAAACTAAAAACAAAATTTTTAAAAAGAGCTAGACATATAGCTCATTGCAGAGGCCCTGGTTTCAATCCTCACTACTAGAAAAATCAAAAGATCTGTAAAAACATGAACAACACTCATTTGGCAGATAGAGAAAGAGCTAAAAGGAAAGAATAATGTATCATTAGGATCTAAGCATTCCAGAAAAATGCATAGCTGTAGAATTAGGCTTCACACACCCTCAACCAACCTTTCAGTTGGCTGTCTATGGCAACCTCTTTGCACAGGTGTAAGCTGACTGTAGCTTATCTTCCACCTTTGCTTTCCACTGAGAAATATTTCTGATGACTCCTTATAAGTCACATCCTGCAGCTGCAGCATGGAAATATGAGGAACTTATCCCACAGAGCAAGCTTTAGCTAGTGGGTGACAGGTGTTGATGAATAAATGCTCCCCTTCCCCCTTTTTGGGACAACTCTCAAATTCAGTCAGTATGGCTCCTCGGAAGGACCCCATAGGATAGAGCCTAGTTGTCCATAGTGGTGACTAACCCACAAACACATTTGTGTGATTCTTTTCCTTCCTTCCCTGCATCACTCTTCTCCTGCCCCCATTCCTATTTCCTGTGCTCACTTCCCTGAATAAACCATCTGCATGCAGGCTTTGCTTCCAAGAGGATCCTAAACTAAGATATAGCATCAGGCACAGGTGTAGGCCTGCTTTCAGAAAAAGTAACATTCAAAAACCAGGACTCAAGAAAAGATAATTTAGTGAGTCATTCATATATTAGCTTTTAGTAGGGTCCATCTTAAATTACTTGAATCAGATAAAAGATTATTAGTTATAATTACTTATAATGGAAATACAACATTTGGGTAACACATTTATTATGGAAGAAGATATATACATATATACACAAAATCATAAGTAAAGGTATTAGCTTATCTGTTCCCAAAATAAAACTCAATATAAAACCTAGAGTAGACCTCAAATAAGCTGAACCGACTGCCACTTAAAAGCATTTATCTTCTCAAAGAGTTGTTACTCCATTGAAAGATGTACTTACCACTCAGTGAAACACTGAGTCCCTGCTTATTTACATTCTTCGCTATTTCAGGCAAATGCCCACAACCCTGTCGAAATGGAGGTAAATGCATTAGTAAAAGCAAATGTAAGTGCTCCAAAGGTTACCAAGGAGACCTGTGTTCTAAGCGTAAGTACAACGAACACCTCAACCTGGGGTATAACTAAAGTAGCAGCCTTCTCTTACCACATAACTTCCATGCCTATTGCATGCTCCCTAGACAACATGGTTAATCTTTCTTCACTGACATATATGTCTCCTTTATACAGACCAACAGCATTGTATGGAACCCATGCATGTAAAAATTTACACACATAAACAACCGAATGTTTTTTCCTTAAAAGTCTATTAGGGGTTTTCTTAAAGAAAATAAACTTCCACAGTCCAGTAGTTGCAGAATTCTACTGAGAGTCTTTTGTGAATGAGAAACATGATGCTCAGTTTAAAGTCACTCTTAGGAATTTTCAAAAGTCCAAAATTGATTTTTCCCTGGAGATTGACTTAGGGAAAAAAATAGGGAATGAAGCCAAATTTAACCTATTCTAAAGAATTGCAGGGAAAGTAGCTATGTAATTCTGTTGAGATGAGAAAACTCAGAATACCCTCTTTATTTTCTTTGCTTCTAGCTGTCTGTGAGCCGGGCTGTGGTGCACACGGAACCTGCCAGGAACCCAACAAATGCCAGTGTCAAGAAGGTTGGAATGGAAGGCACTGCAATAAAAGTGAGTGGGAGATCATTCGGAGAACCAGCCTCTTTCAATTCTGCTTCTTGGCTCTACAGGCTAATGGACAACCTGTAACTCAGGCCTGCCTGGCAAGTCACGAGCATTGAGCCTCCTGCCCCCTTCTTCTCTGAGTCTAAGCTTGAGGGTATAAAAAGTAAGGCATCACTGTAAGATATTACCAGACCTGTAACATATAGCCACCGTTTCTTCTAGGTTAAATTAGTAATACAGGTTAATTTGGTAACACAATAAATGGCATACACAATAATTGGCAAGAAATGATCATCTAAATTCAGATTTTAAATCAAATGTAGAATCAGTATCTACTTACTGCTGATGTTAAAATTCAAGATTTATCAATACATAGGAAACATGACGAGCTTTGCTTTTGAAAATCTTTAAATTATATCAGATATAATGTTTTAAATAAGATCTTTTGAGGGAAAAGAAAAGCCTATGAAGCTCTCCATGGTAGAGTGGTAAAATGGAATTGCATTTTCTCAAATTTACTGACTACCAAAAAGAAAACAGTAATATAGACAAACTACTGGGCTATTTTAAACATGAAATGAAGCTTGATATATCCAGTCATTTAGTATTGATTGGTGTCTCCTTTGTACTAAGCAGGAATCTAGGCACTGGGGACACATCAGGAAACAGAAAGAGAAGACCATACTTCATGGGCTTCATGCCTCAGTGGGAAGGAAAGTCAATTAGTAAGTGAACAAAATAATAGTTTAGTACTTCTGGCACCTGGAACTCAGAATCCTAAGCATGGCCCTCTGTCCACTTTGTTTTGAGGAAACTAAGGCTCCAGCCATATAATATTCTTCAGCAACAAAAGTCCAGATGTGCCTGTCATATTGTGTCTCCAAAATAATGGATACAGACTAAACGAATTACATATCAGATATTTTTCTAAATCGGTGATCTACAAAAGGTGATGCATGCAGTCCAGTGAATATGGAAATTATTAGTGCAGCTGATGAGGGAAGTTGTAGTTTTTAAATATTTTCAATTATTTTATATATATTTACATACAAATATATATTTAGTACATAAATATTTATATTTATTGCAAACTTTCTAATTTCTAATTTCTGCACATACTTTACAATGCTCACATTATATTATTCTGATGTATATGTATAATACATATGTTTATTTAAGGTAGCTTGATGCCTGGTCTAGGCAAAGTAAGCCTTTGACCTGATTGTTTTGCACTCACTACATTGTCTGGGTGGTTGAGTGAATGAGTTTCAGGTGGGCACAGAAATTCAGCTCCTCTGGGAAATAGCCAGTGGTCATGCATGAATGGTATCCCCATTGAGAGATACTTTGAGGGGAAGCCTGCGGACTAAAACACCTATAGGAGACTAATTATTTCTAGAGCCATTTTGGAAAAGAGTAAGCCAAATCTTGTATGCTACCCTCAACTGGTTACAAAGCCCAAAGCTTGTCCCAGAATCAAAGTAACTTTCTAGAAGCCTAGGGATCCTTGGGTCCTTAAACCTAAGATCAGACCATACACCCCAGCACTCAATTGCAAAGGTCTCTGGGTCTCACACTTGGGCTTGGTGATCATCAAGAATGATGAGAGGGGGCCACAAGGTCACTGTCTCCTCTGGCACACCCAATCACTCTTCCAAAAAGTAAGCAAGTTCAGGGCCTTTCAGTAGTAGAGCAATAGGTGAGTGACTCTGACAAGTCTGCACACCTCCAAATAAGCCCCCACTGTAGACCACACTGCTTAATCTGCCACCATTGTACCTCTTTCAGAACAAGGCTTTGTACTCCGGTACCTTGGTGCTTGACCCAAATGCAAATGTGTTTTCCAGGAAAGGCCACCCAGCCATTTAAAATATTAACAAAAATAATCAAGCTGAAAGAACGTGATTTATTTTCACTAGAGGGAGGTGACAAGGAAGCTCTGAGTCAGAGAGTTCGGCTAAGAACAAACTCTCAGTGAGTTGACATGTTGGGAGGTCCTTAGGCACCCAGGCATCCTAACAGGGAGGAGGATCCTGGAGACAGGCATCCCTGCTTAGGCTCACCCTTACCAGCTGGGTGGTTTGGGCTTCATGGGTGGCAAGTCAAGCAGCATGGTAAGGATTTACTCCAGAGCATTGTTGGCTCATACTTTGACCATCCCATGAGCTACTAGCCTACATGCTGACAATTCAAAGAAACACATTCAGGAACAAATATTCTGTTCTCAGCGGTTGTTTAACAGCATGCCTGCATTTAAAAACCACAAGGAACAAACGAAATGCCAAGCTTGACTCTGATGCACAGGAAAATGGAGACAAATTTTTAATACATAATTGCTATCTTGGATCAGCTTTAGGAAACCAGAAATGAGTCAGTGCCCCAAGCACCTCCAAAAGCTCACAGGTAGAAGTCTCAAGATATGAACTCAGTATTAAATTTCACTTAAAGTTGAGCTGGAAATGGACAGATGCCACCTTGACCGAAACTCACAAATCCCCATAAGGAGTCAGTTCAGATTATAACCCTTTCTCTAACACATATAATGGAAGTCCTTAATTATTATAAAAATTCCTGTTTTGTATGAGTGCAGTAGCCACACTTAATCATGGGATCTACATTAAGAATTTAGGTTGTTAAATTGAATTGGATCAATATAAGCTAGGTTGGTTTAGTAACCTTTTGAAAAGGATCAATGAATGACCAAATCCTTTGCAGAAGCATTGGAGAATTGGGTGTTAGATTCTTACCAGCCCTTGGGTAGAGAATGCCTTTCCATTCAATCACACTGGCCAAAATATAGAGTGAGAAATCCAACAGGAGACAGATTTGATGGAGTTTGTAAAATGGGTTTCTTTTAACAGAGATCTTGAATCTATACCATCTCTTCGTTCAGGTAGCTTTTTGTGGTCATAGTGCTCTTTCACTCTTGGTTGAAAAGGGAAAATAGATTTCATTTGAATGGCTAATGATGAATCTGAGAGCCTGTTTTTGTAGTTTTCTTTTCTTTTAAGCTGTGAATAATTTTGCAGGGTACGGAGCCAGCCTCCTGCATGCCCTGAGGCCAGCAGGCGCCCGGCTCCGGCTGCAGCACACGCCTTCACTTAAAAAGGCTGAGGAGCCGCAGGATCCACCTGAATCCAATTACATCTGGTGAACTAAGACATCTGAAACGTTTTAAGTTACACCAAGTTCATAGCCTTTGTTAACCTTTCATGTGTTCAATGTTCAAATAATGCTCATTACACTTAAGAATACTGGCCTGAATTTTATTAGCTTCATTATAAATCACTGAGCTGATATTTACTCTTCCTTTTAAGTTTCCTAAGTATGTCTGTAGCATGATGGTATAGATTTTGTTCTTTCAGTCCTTTGAGACAGATTTTATATTATGTCAGTTGATCAGGTTAAAATTTTGTCTTTTCAGTGTATAGGTGGCAGATATTTGCAAAATTACAATACATTCATGGTGTTGAGGGGCTGGGGAACATTAGAGAGGTTAAATTGGGCAAAAATGCATAAATCACAAGGGTTTGGATGAAGCAGTTAGTAGGGTTGAGGTTACAACATTTCAAATTTTATTGTCATTTATTTAGATGTTTGTCACATTTTTATTGACTGTATTTTTAAGCTCTCATACAATGTATTTGACCTTACTATTATTCCATTAACTTCAGTATTGAAAACAAAAAACTTCCCCCCAAATTACACTATGGTAGTAGCATTTAAACAATATAATATATTGTAAACATGATGAAATAGGGAATATAATGTATGAAGATTTTGCATTGGCTTGAAGCAATATAATATATTGTAAACAAAACACAGCTCTTACGTAATAAACATTTTATACTGTTTGTATGTATAAATAAAGGTGCTGCTTTAGTTTTCTGAGTCATATGGAGTGGTCTTTGCGTGTACTATCTTATAGAAATAAAGTTGGTTGCAATTTAGTGGTAGTTGCTAATCTGCAGTGCCATAAAAAACAAAAGATCAGATATTCTATCATCTGACACTGCCAGTAGCTCTCAGGCCATACTCCAGCCATGTTGCACTACACTATCGTCACTGCCCACAATCTTCCTGTTTAGGTCATATCTCAGGTTAGTTGACATTTATTTCAAGAAGTCTTCTCTAACGAGGATGTGTTAAATAACTGTCCGAGTCCATTTTCTGCCGCTGTAAAGAATACTGGGTAATTCATATAGAGAAAAAATTATTTAACTCACTGTTCAAAAAGCTTGGAAGACTAAGAGCATGGCACCACATGGAGCAAGGCCAAATGTGGCCCATCACCCCATACCAAGTGTTGAAGGCCAAGAGAGTGCAAGAGCAAGAGGGGGCTGAACTTGGTTTGATAACAGCCCGCTCTTGTCGTAACTAACCCACTCCTGTAATCACAGCATTAATCCATTAATCTACGCATGATTTATCTTGTCCCACCTCCCAACTCTGTGGCATTGGGGATTAAGTTTCTAACACATGAACTTTGGGCACACATTCGAACCATAGCAGTATCCCATTAGTAGGTTCCCAAGGCTTCCTAGAGATGTCAGAATGTCACAAATAAAAAGTGCTACCATTTATTAAAGATCCAAGTACACTGCATGTGTTATTTTGTAATCGTAGGAGGCAAATATTATGTCCTTTTACAGATCAGAACCAGAGGCTTAGAGATAATAGTAACTACTTTACCCAAGATCACATGTGATAGGGCCAAGGTTCTAATCCCTGTCATCTTACTTCAAAGCATTAACAATATGCTGCTCTCCCTTCTTCCTTTTTCTTAGCAGATACAGAGAAACATAAAGCTCCGCACATCCTAGAGTCTTTTTCTAATATATAGTATGCAATTCTCCCTCATTCTCCTAAGAGTGTGAAGTTAACTTTATAAAGAATACAGTGTCTATAGGTTTTCTTCTGCAAGGCTGTGACAGGCTCGGTTGTACGATGTAAGGAGGTGACAATGAGAAGTGATTGAGGAAGCAGAGTGTGTGCATCTTATGCGGTGGGGCTGGAGCACAGTGACCTTTGTGCTATAATTGGCTGGAACAGGATGTCAGTCTGTGGTCACAGGGACTTGGCAACGCAGACCTGGGCCCAGGACACTAACTTTGGAATCCCAGTAGGAGAACCAACTGATTTATTCAAATGTCTAAATAAAAAAACAATAGTATCTGACACATATGTAGTGTTCACTTTATTCTATGTGCTTTACTTGTACTAAAGGATCCATGATAGAACAGTGGGGAAGTTAGGCTGAAGGCAGAGTCACAAACTGCAATAATCTAGAGCAATCATCGTGAAGTTGTTTTACTTACACACTCCACTCAAAACTCATGAGCAGTCTTATACATGACTAATATTTATTGACATGGATATCTGCATTGATAGGTGCATTATAAAGCCTTAAATGTTAAAAGGAAAAAATTAAAAATAGGGTTTTAATGTGTGCACATACCCCATTGGGAGAGATGTTAGGATCTGCAGTGGCTTTAGGGTCAGAAAGCAGAGTTGGGCCTTGAGGGATTCTGGGTCTGAGCAGGGGACTAGATGACCAGATGAACACAGAGTTCAGAATAGACCTCTGAACCATGCTGCAGACAACTGGGGAAAGAACACAGGAAGGGCAGATGTGGAGCAGGAGCAAGGATCTCCAGAAATGCTGAATTGGGGTCAAAGATGCTAAATTTAAAATGCCACTGGGGGCTGGTGATTTAGCTCAGTGGTTCTGCCATCTGCCTCACAAGTACAAGGTCCCAAGTTCAATCCCCAGTACCCCCCAAAAAATGCCATTGGGACTTCTTGTTGGAAATGCATTGTAGACACTTGGAAATATAGTTAGGAGCTCAAGGCCAGCAATTTGTTCATTATTAGCCATATTATAAATGAATAATACCAATTATATGTTGAATTACTTTTAATAAAAATACACATAGGTACTTTATTTGATTAGGTATAGTATAATTCACTTGTGTTTTTTGTTTTTAATTTCTATATACAGTTAACATCCTTTGCTACTTACCTAAGTTTATTTATGTAATAGTATGGTCTTTATTATTTGGTAAATTGATTGAGTACTGAGCACCCCTGGCCACCAGATGTATTATGAATCTTCATCCAAAATATTATTTTGTTAATTTATGTAGCACCACAGCCATAGAAACCAGATCTTACAACAAGGCCCAATAATTATTACTTTATGGAACCACTGATCTTATCATACAAGGGAAATTAGAGCAGAAGGAAGGAGGAAGGGGAAAAGGAGGGAGCAGAGAAAGAGGAAGGTATTTGCATAAATGTTAAAGTAAGAAAGAGTCAAGGCAGTGTGGAAAAATGTATACCATTTTCCAAGAGGAAATAAGAAAACGGAAATAAAGTTTAAACTAGGTACTTTGGTACACACCTTTAATCCCAGTACTCTAGGAGGCTGAGGCAAGAGAAGCGCAAGTTCCAGCCCAGCCTAGAAGAGGAATCTGTGACTGGGTATAAGTCCCCAAAACCATATCCTCACACAAACTAGTTGGTCAGGAGAAGTTAAAACCATATAAGGTTTTTCCATCGGGGCTAGATCAACAGATGTAAGTCTGTGGGAAAACTGCTCTTTAAATATCTTTTTAAAATATCTCTAACACATTTATACATAGAGGTAGTGCACGAAAAAGCAATGAAAAAGGATGGTTGACAGGATACACCTTCTCATCCATTATCCCAGAACATTTACTTCTGGCCCTAAAATTATGTGTCTCATCTTGCAAACAGAATCTCTCCAGTTAAGTCCAGCCATATTACTCAGAGGGAAGTTTATTGAACATCTTGTTACTCAAACACACTCCTTGAAATTCTTACCACCACCCCAACCTGCTTCTCAAAATATTCCCTTCAGCCACATACAGTATTCTTCCTGAAAGTAGTGTTTGTAGCTGATATTTTCTCCATCTTAATCTATGTCCAGTGATGCTCAAGACACATTTATATAGTGATATGCTAGGTATAGCCTGAAATGAGCTAGTCCTTAACCTGGATCTTATTGAGAGCAGCGAAAAGTGTCTTCTGCAAGTTTTCATAAAGAGATCAGTATCATATAAGACACAATGCTCTTACAGACAGAGAAATAACAGGACTATTTCTTTTCATATTCTTCAAGCAGGCCCAACTCTTTGCAATAAAGTACTGTTTAATAAAAGCATTTCTACAAAGTAATAGAGGGAAAGAGGATATAGTGAGGCGAGCAATTTTTAAATTGAGTAAAGAAGAAATGTTGCCATTTCAAAAGAATTTCTGAAAGGAATATAAAAGAAAGAAAGAAAAGAAAACAAATGACTACTCAGACAGAAGTTTTGTTGCAATAATTCTTGAGCAGTTTATGCAAGTGGTGCAAATATAAAAATTTAATAAGCATATTGAATAAATATCTGCCATATGGCTCAACATGAAAAAACAGAAACCATATACAGAAAACCGACATCATAAAATGAATATTCAGGTGTTTGGTAAGATTTTTTTAAATCCTAATGTAAACTCCAAATGTAAATTGATTTTGCACCTGTTCAAGATTTATTGCTGCTAAGTGTGTAAAAGTTACAAAGGAAAAATAATTTTTATTAAACCTTTGCATTGCCAGATTTTTCCTAGGCAACAGATTTGCCTCCTAATCATGTTCAGATGTTGAAATTACCTGGCATTTCTTGGAAGTGAAGCTAGAGGCCTATGGGTGGCAAGAAAAATCTACTCAGATGACAAATAATCCACAAAACTCACAGGGGATCATTGAAGATTGACTCAATGCATGGTGAATACTCAGCTTCCTGCCCCAGTGAATAAGAGAATGGTCATACAGCATCGAGCATGGTGGTGAGGCTGTATCTGGTGCTATGGCTCGAAGGAAAGAAGGGGAAAGCAGACAGCCCTAGTAAGAAGGTCTGGCTATGAGAGTGAGGAAACTAGACCAAAATGAAAATATGAGACCACTTGTTCAAAAAGTATTAAGAATTTCAAAATGACAACCACAGAGCTTATACCAGGTATGGGGTCTGCCCAGTTCACATAACCTTGAAGTTGACCTTGTCCAGGAACAAGTTCTTAGGTCCATGTCCAAGTAGAGCATCCCAATCCCCAAATTCCAAATCTAAAATTCTCCATAATATTAAAGTTTTTGAGCACCAAGAGGACACCATAAGTGGAAGATTCCACACCTGCTCTTTTAGGATAAGAGCAGTCAAAACACAGATGCATGACTTTAATCCCAACCCCAAGGTGCTATCTCATTATGTATATTCCAAAATACAAAAAAAAATCCAAAATCTGAAAGTATGGATAAGAGATATTCAACTCCTATGAGATACTCAACTCCTATGAAGCAATTTAGAGATAATGTAAAACGCTTTCCTTTACTTAGGCATTGGCCAAAAATCTATTCTCTCAGCTTCATGGCTATGGGAACCCAGGGCTTGAGAATGAAAAAATAGTCATGAAATCAGTTAAGTCAGTGACCATTTGTCAGATTTCTTCTGCACTTGTATCAAAAACACAAAATTAGGAAAGAACACAGAGGGCAAATTAAGGGAACAAAAATTTATTTGCTTTATATTTCATTCCAGTCAAATTCTTTGAACTTTAGTTACTACTTAAGAAAGGAAGAATTTATAGCTTTACATTTATAACCCACCAGGGCAAGATATTTTTTCAGAATTCTGTGAACAATTCATCATAACCGAAAAAGATTATTTTGGGTCACTCAAACTTATGGCTGCTGTTCTTTACTAGGAGACAGAAACCTGGCCAAGTTGGGAATCTTATGTTTGTGATGGAAAATAAGTTTGTTTCTACCCATGGAGGCTTAATTCAATGAAGAGCCATATGACACTCTCCAGAAACCCCAAATGTCCCCAAAGCCCA